GGTTGTTAACATCCACTTCCTTCCCCCCACCTCCCCCTCTACCATGTCCCCTCAGAAATGTCATCCCATTGTTCTCTCTACCAGCTTATTTATTACGCCAATCCCATCCAGATATACATGCAGCGACAACAATATGCACAAACACAAGACCGAGCACAACAAAGCAAAAATAGAAAATAAAACAATAACTACAACAACAACAAAGACAAAATAAAGAAAAGCCTATAAATAGTTCAAGGTCTATTTGTTGTCCCTTATGAGTGTTTTCCAGTCTAGTCTGATGGGGCACCATGTCCTGGCCACACAGTCTACTTTTGGTGTTCCCTGAGGACATCATTGCTCTGCTCCTCTTGCTGCTCTGTTGCATGCCCCCAGCATCTCGCCTCGGTGTGGTGGGGTCAGGGCAGGCACAATTCCCGCAGTGTGTTTCCAGTGTTGGCCCCCTTTGGTGCTATGTGTCAGTGAGCAACATCATGTCTCTTGGCGGGGCCGGCTCTATGGTCCTCTCTGTGCATTGGCTGCTCTGAGCAGAAATATTGTCCTCAGGGCTTGGTGGGCCAAGATGTGCTTCACTCTTTTTTCCTCCCCCCTCGTTTGCTCCTGTGCATTCTGATCAGACATGTCCCTCTCCTTGAGCTGTAGCTTCAGTGCTGTCCTCTAAAATGAATTCTTCGGAGGGGGGGGAGGAAGAGGGGCTGTCCACTTAGTTGGTAATAGAGCCGGCCCCTCAGGCCTCTATTGATTCCCTGCTTCATGCCAGTCCACATCACTTTTTGAAGTCTTGCACTTTCACGGCAGTTTTTGTATTGCACATGTGACCAACCAATAAAAATGGAATTATCTTTATTTCTGATCAATTGCAGATTTGTTACATCAATGAATAGCAATAAGAACCTTTAAATTAGGATAAACGTTCTTTTATTTTAACTTTTGCAGTAGTAGTGTTACATTTATCTTTATGGTAAATTCTCATAAAGGTTTTGCTTTACATGTTTATAAAATCAATCTTTGCAGCAAATGCTTTCTCTTCATACTTTTTCTGGGTCAAACTTTAAGTTTACACATTTTAGTAAAAGACGACTAGGTTAATAAGAATATGTATGGCTATGCTGATATAGAACATATGTCTGTTGGATTTTTTGTGCCCTTTTACAATGTTTTCTTTTATCCTTAGGACAATGAGACTAGACGAAGGTCAAGTGAGAGCTATACACTGGCTATACCCTATTGTCGGACTTCCACAGGCACCACTGCCTAAAGACCCTGCAGGTGTGTAAGTTTTTGAGGCAGAGAACACTAGAATTCTAAGAGAACTTAAAAATCCAAAACCCACTGTCTATGAGTTGATTCCAACTCCTCATAATTCTATATAGGGTGTCAACCCAGTAGTAATATATGTATTCTGAAATAGATTGTGTTCTTTTGTTTGTTTGTTTTTTAGATTGTGTTCTAGATATGAAATCATTTTTTAAAGGTCTCAAATTTATGTTAGTATATTTTAAAAATCTAAAACCCTGAGAGGCACATTAGTATAATTTTATAAACAGAGGTTATTCACATTCTCTACAGTCCATTCCTCATTCTGTGGTTAATAATGCATCAGAAATGGCCTATTTTTCCTTCTCAACTTTACATCACTGTTTAATTTTCCTCTGATATTTTAAGTATCTCTTTCCCAGGTTATGTTCAGACTCAGGGTATGGTTTTTAGTTTGGGGAACCACCTTTTCTCCTTGTGCATTTTTAACTATGCCTATGCATTGAGGCCTATAATTGGAACTGGACCTGACTACCTGTCACAGTGTAAATACAATGGAAAATGAATCCATTGCTAGAGGGCTAATTTCCTAAAGACTTAACAGGACAAGACTAATGACATGGTACTAATTGCAACTTTCATCACATTAATTTCCAATTTAATGCTTTAAAACTAAAGCTCATTATAACCAGAAGAACTTGCCTATTTTCCTAGCTATTATAGCCCTTACAATTTATATAGAGCATTATGCATATATTATACATATTCTAATTCTAAAGTGTTCAATATCAACTAGTAAATTGTATAATGAAAAACTAAATTAACTATTTGATACTAAAATAGGATATGTATTGAAAAAACACATAAATCTGAGGTCATTGGCTAATTTTGCTGTTCAAATAGGCCATGAAAATGTGGCATAATACATTTAGAATATTTCTCTATATCATGATTCTTTTTCACTGATATTCAATGTATATCTTATATGCATCTGAATTTTAAAAGTATAATACTTAATACATTGGGGAAATACTGTGTTATATATAGACACCAGTAGGAGTAGGCTTCAAATAATTCATAAAAAAACAGATACCAAGGGCTCAAGTAGAAAAAAGATATTTTGAAAATGATGAGGGAAACCTATGTACAAATGTGCTTGATACAAAGGATGGATATATAGATTGTGATAAGAATGGTACGAGCCCCGCCAAAATAATTTTTTAAAACTTTAATGAAAAGATAATGGGATTTTCCCACAAACTGTTTGAAGCCTCTCATACACATGACCTCAGAGTATCGTGGAGCTAATATCAAAGGAATACATTAGGAGCCATCCGGATGGTACAATGGTTAAACACTCACCTGCTAACCAAAACGCTGGTAGTTTGAACCCAGGAGCTGCTCTGTGGGAGAAAGATGTGGCAGGCTACTTGAGTAAAGATGTATATCCTTGGAAACCCTGTAGGGCAGTTCTACCCTGTCCTTCAAGGTCACTATGGGTCATAAATGACTGTATGTCAACAGGTTTGGTTTGGGGTACAGAGAAATAATATTTTTGTTTCTCAGAAGATCATTGACTTTTCCTGGACCCCTGATAGAAGAAAATTAAAGTCATTTCTTTCTTTCTTTATCTATAAATATACATAATGTAATCACATTTAAGATTTGATTTTAAGTAATTAATTTTATTGTAACAGTTAAAAAGGTGAATTTTGTAAATTTAAAAACAATTCACAAAAACGTTAACTATTTCACTTAAATATTTTAAATCTACCTTTAAAGTATATATGGATAAATAATTTAGCAGGACATATTTAAAAAACAATATTATAAAATAAATGCTAGATCTTATTTTTTGAATTTTTGGGGGGTCTTTGATACAATATCAAGGCATCCTGGTGGCATGATTGGTTAAGCACTGGACTCTAATCGCAAGATCAACACTTCAAACCCACAAGGCTGTCTGCTCCCATGAAGATTCGCAGCCTTGGAAACTCTGGATGGGGTCATTATGAACAGAATCGATTAGATGCCATTGGGTTTATTATAGCACTCTAATTGTTACAGTATTATTCTATAAGTGGTTTGGTATTACTACAATGAGCATACAAATTTTAAAAGCTGGGAAATTCAGATGTTCACAATTATCAGTTGAATTATTGACATAACTATGTCAATCCCTGAATCAACTTTCTAAATCATAACATTTGGTGCTGTAAAGATGAGGCTATCTGCTTTCACGAGATGTGCAGCGTCAGAAACTCTAGAGTGGGTCCCTATGACTTGGAATCAACTCAATGGTGATGGGTTTGGTTTAAATATAGTCTTCAATAATCTAGTGCATAGATTCAAGATTTATTTTTTGTCATACTATTTTATAAAGTTATTGTTAATATTTTGCTTCTCAAAATGTATGTATGTCGACACTGCAGATATGCATGTGCATATACTTTTGTTAATTCTGGATGCACTGACCACTCACTACTATTGTGCTGATTTTATAAAATTTATTTATAGCAACCCTATAGGACAGGGTAAAACTGACCTGGTGGGTTTCCAAAGTTGTAAACCTTTATGGGAGCAGACAGCCTCAACTTTCTCCCACAGTGTACCTGGTGGGTTTGAAATGCTGACACTACAATGAAAACTCCACCATGTAACCAACCCATTTTGCCACCAGGGCTCTTGTTGCAATCACAAGACTAGTCAAAGAATACCAGAGCAAGTTTTATTTTACAAGACAGGGTCATTGTTTTCCATCTCAAGTAAGATCACATACCAAGAGTTAACTGAAAGCATCTTTCCATTACAGTTGTCATAAAATGTCAAGCCAAGAAGAGGGTGGAGGAATTGGTGGAAATCTCCATGACAGGCGAATTTTTTGGAAAAAATCCTCTCAAATGTATGACAGAAATTATAGTGGTACCAAGAAGGCCCACAGCTGATAATTACCATGATCATATCGGCGGTAAGAAAACCATAGCCATGTGTAATCAATAATAATTATGATAAAGAAAGCTCAGATTTCTTGAGCTATGGTTGCAAATTGCTCGGTTGCTTAAAGATCTGTGTCCTTTGTGTATTTTAAAAGATATTATTTATTTGAGTAGTGCTCAAAGATTTAGTTTTCCGATCTTATGTTTGCTATCTTCACGTAGTAGTTACTCCAAATGACAATAATCATAGTTTCTAGTGGATTTTAAGACATAAGATGTGACTCTGTCAGTAGTGGAAAGAAAGAAAATGTAATAACTGTAATTTCTTTTGCCCCTCAACATTAGTTTCCTTCTTACCCTTCTGATCTAAGGAATATGAATAAGCCACATGTTACAGCTTTAATTTTAAAACACATCAATGAATAAATATTTATTTTAAAAACTAGAAAAAGTAACATGTCAGATATGATGCCCGAAAAAAATTTGTACAATGAAGTTTATGGAATACATTGTATGTAAACTTCACCTTTTGTATATAAATTTGGTACCTCATTTTTAAATTCCAGATAACTTAAAATATTTCATCAAATACTCTAAATATATGCTGTACCACTTGAAATAAATAATATGCCATAATCACATAAAGACGCAATATACTTAACAATTCATTGAGTGTCATATATGGCTTGTCATTGGAGACAGTATTTAACTTTTATTAATTGATTTCTGAATCCATGTGAATACTTATTTGAGTCACATAATCCTTTCAGGCAAACCTGTTAATAATGAATCCAGTAATACTAAAATTACTTATGTCCTATCATATTATACAGCATTATTTGTCATATAATATTTCTGTCATTATGTACAAATATATTCTATGCGTATTAAGAAATCATGTTCTATACCAATATTTTCTTGTTTTGTGCAATACAAGTATTAAGGTAAGAAAAAAATCTTTAAAGTACTAAGATAACAGCAAGACAAGATATCTCTGTGGCCCTCTCCGTCCCGCCTTTCAGCCTCTCCTTGTCCTCCGAGACTCTGAATTTCTGAAGCAGTCTTATTTCAAGGGGCTTGTGAATGGGTTTAGACCCCCTATCCTTGGGTCAGCCTCACACTTAACACTGAGAACCTAAGAACACTAGTCTCTAGTTTAATGGTATCTAAGATAATTGCTTCTAGCATCTGTACAAAATTAACAAACAACATTTTCTTTTCTTCTTTCATTATTCCTCTTCATCTACATAAAGATTCCAACCGCAATTTGAAGAAGATATGATTTTAATAGCATCAGATTCAGAATTTTGCTAATTTGATTAAACTTGCCCTAAAGTGAACTTTCACTGAAACCTCCCTTAAGTACCACATGACAAAACGCTCTTGATTTGAACTTCACACAGTAAACTCGGGATCTATAGCTCTGATTATAGATTGTTAGACAAGACTTCTCATAAAGTTTTGTTTTTCTTATTTATTTATTTAACTTTTTATTGTGGTCTGAGAGTTTATCAGGCACATCAGGTTTCCATTCAACAATTCATATATATTTTTTGTGTTGTTGATTGCAATTCCCATAAAACAATAGCACGCTTTTCACTTCCTTAAAGTATTTACCATTTCATCTTCTTTTCTTATGCCTTCCTGCCTTCTGAAATAATGCTATCCTTATGGTCTCATATGTATGGTTGTTCTATTTAGTGCGTACATCCCTGGTATTATTATTCACCTCTTAAGATTTTCCAGTGTTTGGCTGAAACTCCAGTGAGTTCATTTCCAGGCATGAAGGGTGTCTGAGGGTCATAGTCTAAAGGGTTCTTCCGGTCTGTATCAGTCCAGTGTATCTGTCATCTTTATTATTTTAGTTTTAGATTCTACAAATGTGTTGTCCCACATTTTACTATCACTGCATCCAGTTAGGAGTTTCTATTGTGATCGCTTTCAAAGTGATCAGCAGTGAGTACCAGGCATTATCTAGTTCTAATCTCAGGAATGGTAGAGTCTGGTATTCAAGTGGCCCATTAGTCCATTGGACTAATTGTTTCTTTGTGTCTTTGATTTTTATCCTTCTTTTTAGCTCTGGATGGGGAGAAAACATTAGATGCACCATAGATGGTCACTTACAAACTTCTAAGAACACCCCCTATCCCATCAATTGTTAGTCAGCAAAGTAGGATGTAAGGAATTGTTTTTGTGGACTATACTAATGGGTATGTCAACTGACCTTGATATCCCTGGATATTTATGTTCCTGAACCCCCAGATCCAGGGACTTACTGTGTTTGGTTATGACTAAGGAGCTTTAATGACCGTGTCCCCTATTATGTATGTACAAATATGTATGTAGAAATACCATCTGCCAAACCTGCATAGAGTTTTGGATATGATATAGTCCTGTTTGTCACCCATACCTGTTGATTTTGCCTTTCTGCCTATGAATTCCCTCATAGATTACTGTGTGGTATTATTGATAATGCAATTATGTATGTAATAGGATTTACTTTTCCTGTCTCATACTCTTGTGGAACCTCTACATGTCTTCTTTTTCTTTCATGATATTGTGTGTATCACTTACTCATCATTGTGATAATCTTTTTCTTCAGCAGAATTAATAATTGTCTGTTACATAGTCAGTCATTTTCCCTCCCCACCACCCTATCTCTTGTAATCACCAAAGAATGTTAGTTTTTCTTTGTGTAATCTCTTCCTTCACTTTTTATAACAATAGACTCATACAATATTTATGCTTATTTCACTCAGCATTATGTCTTCACATTCATCCCTGTTATAAAGTATTTCCCAGATTCTTCATTGTTCTTTAACATTACATAGTAGACAGTAATGGTATTGCTGGATTACATGCTGTATCTATTTGCAGCTAGTTAAGGAAACACCACACTATTTTCCATCATGGTTGCACCATTTTCTTCCCACCAGCAATATTTGGGTGGTTCAACTGCCATTCGTTGTTTTCTGTCATACTCAACTCTGTTATCATTACGATTGCAAGATCATATCTCATTGTTTTTATTTGCATTGCTATAATAGCTGATGGCCACATGTGTTCATTCATATTTTTGTTGACTGGCTGTAAGTATTTGATGAAGTGTCTGTTCATATTCCCTGCCCATTTTTTAATTGGATTTTTTGAGGGAGTTGTTGAGGTGTTAAAGTGCTGTAGGCATATTTTTTTCAACCAACAGTCAACATTAAAAAGGAGATTTTATTGTTATTTGGATCATGGGTTAAATTATTAGAGCAAATTAACCTTAGAGTTCAACATTCAACTGCCAATTTCCAGGGATAAAATACATTTCTTAAATATTTTATTATGAAAATAGAATAAAATTTTAATAAACCCCAAACTTATAATAATAATTATACCTTTCTGATGTGAAATGATTATTTAATGTGATTTCCTACTGTCCTTAAGTTTAACAGCTAAGTATCGAAACTTTAATTTCTATTCAAAATATGTCTTGTTAAAGTCAAAATGTTGATGCTTCTATTGTACCACATTTAAAAGAAGGTAAAATGAAATGTTAGTATATAGCAATCATTTCAATATGTTCTCACTACTTTAAATTGTATTCTTGTTAGGGTTAAAACTAAAGCAATAATAAGTCTGATCACAGAAATTGATTAAAACATATTATCCAGGAAAAACGTCCGTTTCAGTCTTGTAAGCAGGGTCTGTATGGAAGCTGCCAGCATCATTTTGGAAGCTTGAAAGGTATAGGAGGAAAGCAGTTTCTCTCACATAGCTCCTAAAACGAAACATTTTTGATATGGCTTTTATTTTACTGCTCCATTACTTTTCTTGATGAAAATAATATTTTCATGGAAGGTTTTAATGCTTCTCTCCAGCCATCATTCCCTCTAAATCTTTTGCTATACTCAGCGCCACCCAAATCAACAAGTTTCTATGTTTCTTTGGGTTAAAGACACTTACTTTATAAATTTTCTATGTTCTTCTGAAGTACACCTGCTCTGTAGAAACAGGGATCTCTCCTCTCTTGATTGTAATATTATGTCTCTGTCTTTATGGTACCTGAATATTTGATCAAGACCTCTGACCTTGCTCTTGCCCAGTCTTTTATTAAGTCGCCCGGGTTTCTTCCCCTATCTTTATTTCAAGAATGTAAGCAATCAGGGTGCAGTGTAGCACAGATGAAATATACAACTTTCCTCTAGTTCCTAAATGCTTCCTCCCACGCCCCCCACTATCATGATCCCAATTCTACCTTACAAATCTGGCTAGACCAGAGGATGTACACTGGTACAGAT